GATTACTTTTAATGGTCGGATTCAGGGTTAAGGAGCGACTGAGTTGTTTAGCAATGGTTGCTTTTGGTTTTCGGCTTAATGTGATTACATTTGAGATATTTGATTACTAGATTGTATTGAATAGGCAATATAGGTGCTGCCCTTCAGTTATTTGAAGAAATGGTGATGGGAATGCTGAATTTGTTGTCTTTACAAGCTTAATTTGTTGTTTATGGTATAGTATTACAGGTCACAACAAATTCACTATTCTCATTTGCAAATGATTCATAAGGTGTTCATCCGGACACAATTACTTATAACACAATTTTGAATGGTTATCTCTTGGAAGGTGGAACTGAATTGTGAGAAAGCTATTTGTTCCATGGCATGTAACGGATATTTTGATGTGGTTTTTGCTTGGCAAATAAATTTAGAATCCTAAGGAGTTGTTTGTTTTGATGATGAGTAAGATATATTCCTATCTTTGATCAATTGGTATTGCAAGAATCGAAAAAAGTTTAAATAGCTACGATTCTTTATAAGAAATGACTTAAATGGAGTTAGGCCCTAAGTTGTTCCACCGGTTTAGTTACATATAATATTGTGGACTCTGCAAAAATGGTTGTCTTTTGGAGCTCTTGAACTGTTTCATTGAAAAATGAAAACTTTCAACCTGAAATCAAAATCTTTGTTGTCTCATTGATGATTCAACAAAACTGAGACTTGAAATTGTCTAGGAATTATTTCACAAACTGCAAAATAAGGTTTTGTTCGGATGTTGTGACATATAGCATTATGATGGATGGGCTTTGTAAAGGAGGGCACTTAGAAAAGGCAAGTAATCGTTATCATATATGAACAAAAGGGTTGTGTTCCAGAGGTTATATTTAATACGCCTGTGCATGCTTTCCTAAAGCATGATGGGACTTCAAAAGTGGTTGAACTTCTTCGCAAAGTGGCATAAAGAAATGACTATGTATCCAAGTTTTGGATTCAAGAGTGGGATATTGGTTTTGATATTCAAGCTTTGCTTGCTAGTGCTCTCGCTGATGAAATAGGAACTGTACTTAAAAGAGGACATGATTTCTATTGAAGTTGTGCTTGCATCTGCCACAATATTTCTTATGCTGTAGCAAACCATGCATAAGTGTATTAAATATGATTGCATCTGGAGCACAATCCTTTTGCTCCATAAATCGATTTTGAAGTGATATTCAGTAACTGCAGTCGAAAACAGAAATGATATTATTACTATGAAATGATATAATGCTTTGACAAACAAGGTATTACGGATGCAACTTCAAGTGTTACTATGATTAAGTTAACTGTGAGGGATAGAGCTATGGATCTTAGGAAGATGAAGAGAACTATTAGTAAGAGGAGTCTTGCTCAGGATTGGGGGTTACCGATGTGTATTTTTAAAGGGTGAATTTTTGTTGGTTGGCTTTGTTATGGTGATGGTTGTCTTGTGTATGTTTTGGAGATGGTCTTGTATAGGCTTTTGTTTTCGTCTTAGCCCAGAGTTTCTCCTGTGGTAGGATATGCATTGGAAGATAGTGTTTTAAATAGCTCTTTTGTCTTGGTTAGACTTTTGTTTTTGATCTTATCCGAACGTTTTGTCTATTGGTAGGCTGGTTGCCTTTATAGGCCTCTTTGTACATCCTTTTTCCTTTTTTATTTAAAGCTTAGTTACTAAAAAAACAAGATATTACTGATTTTTAAATCTTGTTTTATTTTTTCAGTTTTTTCTCTGAATCTCATCACGAATTTACTTTTAGATGTGGTTTGATTCACAGCAATGAGAATGGGAATGGAAATATGAATGTCTAGTCCTATTTTCAGTTAAAAACTGACAGGAGATAAAAGTATTTTTTAGATCGTACTTTCATTATGTTAGATTTAAAAAACATATTATAGATATAAACAATTAATTATATATTTTTAAAATTTATTGCTAATTTAAAAAACTTGATTATTACTATTGTCGATGGTTGAGGATATTTATTTTTTATTTCTATTAGTCCCTTAATAATTTTCTCTCTCCCAATTTACAAATTGCCAATCCCTTTGTAATTTGGAATATCCTACCAGCATTTCACTTGTGTATAAATTTTATGTTATGCAGAGAATTTTTCAAACTGCAAGTCTCTCTTTAATAATTTCCTCATTTTTCGAAAGTAATTCTTGCTTCTAATCTGAAACATGATAGAACTAAAACTCTTTCTCTTGTATAAGGGAAACCAAAAAATGGATTTCAATCTTGAAGGGGTCGATCCTTGGGCTAGCAAGGGACAAGGGGGGCAATCGGGTCCCCTTGATCTTCAGAATAAATTTATGCCAAATTTTTATTCTCCTTTTGCGTTTACATTTTTTCATACTCAAAAAGTCAAAATACATCTTTTCATACTCAAAATACATCGTGTTACATTCGTTGGCTGTAGATTTGGCTAGAAAAGACTAGATCGGCGCACTATTGGCTAGATCTAGCCGGTAGTAAGCCATTACGCCAGATTCCGACCACCTTTTGACCTTGATTGCAGGAATCTGACAAATGTGGGTGAGTGTGGTTGTTTTTGTCAATTTATAAAAAAAATTTGTTAGGGGTGTTTAGTTAAATTAACAAACTTATAGGGATTGAAAATAGTTGAATATTATAGGATGTGATTTTGAGAATACTGAAACAAACAGACATTTTTTTTCAGAATAGGAATAGAATATTTTTGAAATAGGGAAATAAACGCAGCCAAAGACATATTTTTGAATATTTATATTTATGCCAAATTTTTATTCTCTTTTTACATTTACGTTTTTTCATACTCAAAATACGTGTTAAAACTTCTTTTTCCTTTGACAAGACATATTCTAAATTCTCATTAAATATAATATCTGTAAAGTAGATTATGCCCCCGGTTTGTTTAATTTTTCCAATTATATTCTATTCTACTATCCTATCATAAAAAATGAAAACGTATTTGTTTAATTTTTCTAATTATATTCTATTATACTATCCTATCATAAAAAATGAAAACGTATTTGTTTTAATATTGTTCAAATTTTAATTATATTATATTCATCTCAAAATATTTAATAATTGTCTTTCTCAATAACAGTTTATAAATTAACAAAAATACCCACACCCACCCAAGCAATAGTCGCCCGACAACAACCATTGTCGGCCGTTGATGCCGGAACGACTCATGATCGACCGGATTTGTCAGTTTCCGGCTAGATCCATGGCAAAAAATCTGTCCATTAACGGTTAGATCTGGCTGTTGACAATGGCCAAACGATGGCCAGATTTCTGGCTGACATTTCGCTGTCAACGATGGCCAAGATATCGTTGTCGTCAACGTTGATGGTTATATCTTTAGCCGTAGATCTGGCTCTGGCCAAATTAACACACAATCAGCCAAATCTAATTGATCGTACGCCATTTCGACGACTTTCGACCACCGTCCGACGTGTGTCAAATTTATGCCAAATTTTTATTCTTTTTTTGCATTTACATTTTTTCATACTCAAAATACATGTTAAAACTTCTTTTTCCTTTGACAAGACATATTTCTAAATTCTCATTAAATTAGTATCTCTAAAGTAGATTATGCCCTGGTTTGTTTAATTTTTCCAATTATATTCTATTCTACTATCTTATCATAGAAAATGAAAAACGTATTTGTTTTAATATTGTTTAAAATTTAATTCTATTATATTCAACTCAAAACATTTAATAATTACATTTCTCAATAAAAATTTATAAATTAATAGAAACACCCCCACCCACCCAAGCAACAGTCGCCCGACAACAACAACTGTTGGCCGCTAATGCCAGAATGACGCACAACCGGTTGGATTTGTCAGTTTTCAGCCAGATCCATGACAAAAAATCTGTCCATTAACGGCTAGATCTAGCCGTTGATGATGGCCATACAATGGCCAGATTTCTGGCTGATGTTTGACCGTTAACGATGACCAAGATATGGTTGTCGTCAACATTGACGGTTATATCTTTGTCCATAAATCTGGTCGTTTCTGGCCAAATCGACACACGATCAGCCAAATCCAACCGATCGTGAGCCATTCGGATGACTTTCGACCATCGTTCGTCCATAGTGGCCGGTTGTTGGCATCCATTTGGATGGGTGGGCGTATTTTTTTAATTTATGAAATTTTTATTATGGGGGGTGTTTAGCTAAATTAACAAATATAGGGGATTAAAAAATCTAAACATTTTTATAAAATGTTTTCAAAAAATGTGCACATTCTAGAATCATATCCTATTTGATTAAATCTTATCTTATCTTATTCAAAATATAATATTATTAAAAAAAGTGTACAAAAGGAGCCTATTTTTGCTGCTTTTCTCAAAATTTTAAAATTCTATAAATTTAGAATTCAATAATTATAACTGAAATTATTTGACAAACAAAGAAAGTATAAGAATTAAGAAAGGAAAATGGAAAGAAGTGGGTTTTGACGAACTCCATAACAAAGAGCGTTGATTTTGAAATTGAATGGAGAGATTACCTCGTACTGGCTGGTGTTGGGAGAGATTGNCTACCAATTAGTTGGCGGTAAGGGGTGGGATCAGACAAGGGGGTGCCAGATGCTTTAGATAATTTGTGGTTCTGATCCATGGTTATTTTGAGTGGTTTGGAAGAAAGATTACCAGTATCAGCCAAGATATCTAGTGTGTATTTTCGCTGGCAGAGATGAATTTCTATTGGAGAACAAGCCATTTCAATGCCTAAGAAATACCTCAGGGAACCAAGATCTTTAATGCGAAAATGGGTGTTCAAAAAATTTCAGAGAACAGAGATGGAGGTAAGAGAGCTGCTAGCGATTACTATGTCATCGACATAGACAAGTAGTGCTGTAAAATCAGTGGCAGTGATATATGTAAAATGGCTGTAATCAGCCTTGGATTGTTTGAAACCAAAACTGATCAAAGATTGAGAAAACTTATCATACCACTGCCGTGAGGCCTACTTGAGGCCATAGAGACTTTTGAGCAATTTACAGACTTATCCAGGTTGACCTTTAGTATATCCAGGGGGCTTCTTCATATAGATATCTTCATGTAAATCTCCATGAAGAAATGCATTATTACCGTCAAACTGTTGTAAATGCCATCCTTTAATGACAGCTAAGGCAAGCAGTGTTCGGATTATAACAATCTTGGCAACGGGGGAGAATGTTTCATGATAATCGACTCCCTCTTGCTGAGTAAAACCATGAGCAACTAAACGTGCTTTCTTCCATTCAATTGTACCATTAAAATGGTATTTGGTTTTATACACAAATTTGCAATCAATTGGAGATTTTCCAGGAGGTAAATCTATAAGGATCCAGGTCTTGTTTAGTTCTAGAGCAGCAAGTTCGGCTTCCATTGCTTTGCACCAATCAAGGTCCTTGGCAGCTTGTTTAAAAGTTTGTGGGTCTTGTTGTGAAGAAATGGTAGAAGAAAATAAAGCAAATGAAGGTGATAAATGTGTATAGGAAATTTAAGAGGACAGAGGAAAATGAATACCTTAAGGAGCTGATGTCGTGTCCACTGATTGTTTGCATGAGAGTGAGCTGACTTGTTGACAATGAAAATCCTACAAGTAGTGAGGAGCTGTTCGTGCACGGGTTGATATGTGAAGGGAAGGTTAAATTGGTATGGCAGAAGAAGATAAGGAAAAGGAATCTGGTGGAGATGTATGTGCAGGAAATGGTGTTGTAGCAGTAAGGTTGGGATGGGGAGAAGAGAGAGGAGAGGATATGGGTGAAGGGGATGGGGAAAAGGAGAGGACGAAGTTCGTGAAGGGACAGATTGCATGGGATAAGGAGACGGTAAAGGTAGGGGAAGGGAAGGAGACATAGTGGTGGTTTGTTGATGAAATGGAAAAATGTGTTCATGGAATGTTACATCCCGAGAGAGGAAAACAGTCTTGGTATTGAGATCAAGCAGTTTGTAACCTTTTATACCAAAAGGATAGCCAAGAAAAACACAATGACGACCTCTTGGATCAAATTTTTGGCGATTGTGGGAGAGGGTGGAAGCAAAGCAAAGACACCCCAATATTCTCATGTGTGAGTATGTGGGAGGCTTTTTAAATAAGAGCTCAAAGGGTGTTTTATTTGAAAGTAATGGACTAGGAATGCGATTAATAATGTAAGCAGCTGTAAGTATGCAATCTGTCCAATACAGTAGAGGAATGTTGGACTGAATTTGTAAGGCTCGGGCAATATTTAATAAATGTTGGTGTTTATGCTTAACTTTTCCATTTTGCGGTAGAGTTTCCACACACGTTCGTTGATGAATAATGCCTCGGTTGTTGAAGAATTCAGTCATTTGAAATTCAAGACTATTTTCACTACGTAGGATTTGAGCGTTGGTATGAAATTGAGTGTGGACTAGATTACAAAAAGCCTCGATACATTTTCTGGTATCTGATTTAGCTTTAAGCAAATATATCCAAGTACTTTGAGAATAGTCATCAATGATTGTTAAAAAATATTTTGTGCCATCATATGCTGTGAGGGAATGGGGTCCCTATATATCACAGTGTATGAGTTCAAAAATGGCTTTACTTTGATGAGTACTATCAGGAAAAGGTAGACAATGATGCTTTGCAAGAGGACAAACAAGACAGGGATTTTTATCAGAAACAGTAGAAACATGATTTTGAATACAAGGATCTTTGATTACATGAATTTTGGAAGTGGGAGTGTGACCCAACCTACAATGCCAGAGATCGGAAATCAGATTCACATCCTTGAAAATGGCTGAAACAGAAATATTTTTGTGTAATGAAATGGAAAAGTGGTCAAAAAGTGCTGTATGAGGAACTTGAGCAGGAATCAGATTGTAAAGTCCAGCTTTCATCTCACCTATGCCAATCGTGGTCCACGTCAAAAGGTCCTAAATAAAACAAAATTGTGAAAGAAAAATAACACAACAAGAGAAAGAGTTGATTAGTTGTTTGACAGAAATCAAATTAAAGTGAAAAGAAGGCACACATAAAACATTGTGCAAAGTTAATTTTGGGTTGCTATGGACTGTGCCGATATGGGAAACAGGTGCTGTTTGGCCATTGGGTAGCTTAACAACAAAGGAAACAGAAGAGGTTATTGAAGAAAAGAATGAGGTACTATAGATCATATGATCTGAAGCGCCTGTGTCAATTAACCAAAGAGTATGTGTGTGTGAGGAGGAGGAAATACCATTCATGGTGGGTGAGAAGGAACAATTTGCTTGGACATTATTGACTGCATGCGTAGCAGTGGAGGCCTCCGTTGGTTGCACTAGAGCCAACAATTTCTGGTATTGATCCTGAGTAAAGGTCATCTTGATATCAGAAATTTCTGCTCCAAGGTCGAGAGAGGACATGTTAGCATATGGGTTGTACTGCTTGGTTTTGCCATGCAGCTTGTGGCCTGGTGGATACCCATGTAGTTTATAGCACTTTGCAGCTCTATGTCCTGTCATATGACAGTGGGTGTAGGTTGGTGGTTGAGTATTGCCAGCTTTGAAACAAGCATCAAGAGTGTCGCCTTGAATCTTGCAATGGGTGCAAAATGGTCTGTCTCATTTAGATGATTGGGAAGATTGAGGTGAGGATCTATATGGTAAGTAAGGTCGGTTAGCAGTGAGCGCCATAGACTCAGTAGAAGGGAGATTAGGAACCATGAGATGTTACAGTTCTTGCTGTTGAACCATGGAAAAATTTTGTTTATGGGTGGTAAGGGGTCCAAGATCATAATCTGATCACGAGTGGCATTGAATGAATCATTAAGGCCCATAAGAAATTGGATTACACAATCCCTTTGATATCGGCCAAGAAGAACAGCCAGTTTGCCATAAGAGCAGTCAAGTAACGGATCATACATAAGGAGATCATCCCATAAAGTCTTAGTTTACCAAAATAAACAGAAACAAAATCATTGTCTTGAGTCAAACCTGTTAATGCCTTTTTAAGTTGAAAAATCTGGTGACCATTTGATTGAGTGAATCGTTCTTTAAGTTCCTTCCAGACTTGAGCAGCATCATCAACCAAAACAATGCTGAATTTGAGAGACGGATTAATGGAGTTATGTAACCAGGAAAATACCAGATTGTTACAGAGCTCCCAGGCATCAAAAAGAGGATCAGAGGTTGATTTCGGTTTAGACAAGTTGTCATTAATAAAACCGAGTTTGTTTTTGGCACGAAGGGCCCTGCACATGGCTCTTGACCAAGGGAAGCGAGTAGGTCATGGACTAAGGGAAGCGATGGATTATCTCCATGATCGAGTCTGTAAGGATTGATAGGATTGGAAAAGTCCAGGAAAAGGTTTGTGGAAGCAGCATCGTTTTTGGAAGCAGCATCAGCCATTGAAAAAGAAGGTTTTACTCTGAACCTTGCTCTGATACCATGTCAGAGTAACAAGAAAAATAACAAAAGGACAAAGCAGTGTTGTTGAAAATGCTATTGCATTGATTGTATTGAATTGAATTAAACTGTACATGATGCCACTGCTTTATACACGATACAAAATGAAACAAACTAGGAGATTCCTGTACAGCTAGCATAACAACTTCTGTACAACTAGCATAACAAACTGTAAATTTACATAATGGTACAAGGACACCTTAGCTATGAATAAGACCAGTTGGTAATTTTCCTCAACAATAATCATGTGAGGTGTGTCCATTTGATATAGAATGTGGCTGCATATCAATGTCTTTGAGGATGCCACGAGCTGCTACATTTGCATGAGACGAGCTGCTCGTGGCAACTAGTTCGCCACGAGTTGCTGCATTTGCATGAGACGAGCTGCTCGTGGCAACCAGTTCGCACGAGCTGCTGCGTTTGCATGAGACGAGCTGATGTTGGACTGCTCTAATAAATACATGACATCTTCATCCCACATACATAATTAAAATTTAATCAAGATATGTCATCTTGAGCAGTAATCAAGAAAGGATCATTCTCAATCAGAAAAGGATAATTTCAACTTTGGTGGGAGATATCATGTCATACGAACTTAAGAGTTAAAGCCAAAGATCAAGTGTAATGGGTGCTATATAACCCAACCCTAATACATTTTGAGGGACAGCAAGACATGCACATAGAAAAATTGCTAGACTGAGAAAAAGAGAACTCGAGAGAAAACTTGATATAACTCTTTGTAACTCACTTTGCGGATACACACAATATATAATAGTGAATGTAGGTTTGCATTATAAGCAGCCGAATTACGTTAAAAATCTTCTTTTATTCTCTATGTTTTGTGTTTAATTGTTGTTCATATATAATTGTTTTATCCCATCGCTGATCCATCAAGATTATGCAAGCATCCGATATGATTCTACTGTTATGAATCACGTAACTTTTGTTGTTGCAATTTTTTGTATCAAACATGTCATATATTTATTTGTAATAATATCATAATATATCTTCTATGATATTGTTATTAGAAAAATTAGGAGGTGCATATGTTTTTAATAGGTAATTTTTACAAAATTAATGAAAAATTATTGTAAGTTAATGAGGTCCATAAGAGAGGTCAGAGACGGATTAGAGCGTAATATATCTTTCAGTAATGCTAGACTTACCGTTCCAACTACCGACTTTGACATACCGACCCAATTATCCAACTACCCAAATCTCAAAATTCGACTCAATTCACATGAGTCGATATGTCAAAGTCAGTAATTGGGTCGGTAAGTCTAGCATTACTATATATCTTTATCATTAATATTTTAAAACAAGGATAATAATTTTAGACAAAACTTCATTAGTCTTCTCAAGAGAGAATTTCAAATATTCATTAGTTAATACACATGTATTATCAAAAATTCAAACAAAAAAACCAAGGAATGAAATTACAAAGAAAACCAACAAAGATAAACCCGAGCACCGTAGTTTAAATCCATGCGATGAGCCGGTACCGTCCATCTTCGTCGCTGTGTAAACTTCCATGCCATTCAGAATCGGAGGAAACTTAGAGCCACTGACCGGAGATATAGTAACATTCGCAGTACCTGAAACTTGAACAGGAAACAACGACACAACTTGACCAAACGGAGAAATATTCAGCTCTACAACGTTCCTCAATGCACCATCAATGTGAAACTCAAATTTTCTCATATAATATCGATTCGTTAACAAGTTATAATCCAGGAAGTAGAACACAAAGTAAGCAGATCGTTGAGTGCTGTTTTTGAAATCAACGTTCAGATAAATAAAATCCGTGGCGTTTTCCGGTGAAATTGCATTCTTCAATAGATCATCTGGAGGTCGATTTTCTAAAGGCCGATTCAAGCACGATTGAGTTTCATCGCCACCAGAATAGGAAACGTTGAGAGAACCCGAAACTGACTTTGGTTGCCAAACTCGAAATGTAATATCATAGCAAACGCT